GTTGGGCGCCCCACACCAATATGCTTGTTGACCCACTGACCAAAGACGACATAACGAAGGGCAGCGCCGCGCTGTTTGAGCTGATGGCGTCTGGCGAGCTACTGTTGGTGGACGAGGCCAGCGAGCTCGTCGAACGAAAGGCAGACCCAACCCAGCAGGGGCGCTCCCAGGCTACCTCAGCCCGTGTCCTAGCCCGTGCCCGTCAGGAGATACCCTGGTCATCGTTCATCCTCCAAAGTGAGGATGTCTCAAGGCCTGGCCAGGGGGTCCCCGAATGTCCTCTCTCTATATCTCTCTCTCTCTCTCTCTCTCTCTCCTTTTCTGTCCTATGTTTTTTCGCCGCGCGCTGCTGTGTAGTTGCGCTAGATGTCCTCGAGATGAAACAATCTCGAGCCGACAGGGGAGGGAGGGGTGTGAGGACACCCTTGCTTAAACCTACGAGAAAGTTTGACCTGTGTGGATACTGGCCTCTCGTACAGTTCTAGGTTTAGCATTTGCAGTTTCCCCGCAAGGGCCCCATCGAGGTCTCGTGGGGGCCCAATGGGATTTGCGATCCGGATTCTTGTTTGAGCTCAAGTGGAAAAAAGCATTCGCTGCCGCTCCTGCTGCCACAGAAGGGCGAGGACGTTGGCGCGGGCGAGAAGAAGGAGTTGAGGGCGCACGTTTGGGGGGGCAGTCAGAGATCAGTGATGGTGAATTATATGATGGGGCTGTTGCAATATGAGCATAACACCGCGTCAGAAACTGGAGCCGCGACCAAAACATCGGTGGCGAAGAGTGCCGCTCTGTCCCCGAAGGATTTGGGCAATGTGTTGCACCACGCGCGCAGGCGTCGCCCGACCTTCAAGGACGGCCGCCCAGGGGTTTGGGCGTTCATGCTGCGGGGGCAGCGCGGTGTGGATTTGGGGTCCAAGTTCAAGGATTGGTGTGCCATTCGGAATGCCAGGCATTTTGTGCCCCCCCAGCGCATCCTCGACAGCCCGCCGCTGAAATGGCCGATGCGTTTCAACAGCGGGGGAGACGACGGAGAGGGCGAGAAAACCAAGGGAGCGGGGCGTAGCAGGAAGAAGCCACGGCGCTGGGCCGCACCAGTCCTCTTCGAAGGGCAGCGAGGGTATCGGCCAAGGCCCCGCGGATTCGCCATCCTGGAGATCGACCGGTCTTTTTTCGGGGGGGGAAGGAGCAGCCTGGCCTTTACCAGCTCAAATGCGCGAGCGACGACGTGATCAGATACTAGTTGGTGCGTTTCTCGGATATGGGCCAAGTTTTGTTTATCTCTGCTTGCTTCAATGAATGGAATGGGCTCAGTCTTCCATTGCACTGGGGGGATGTTTTGGGCGATGTGGGAAGTCGTATTGCTGAAGTGGGCAGTGTTTCCTTTGAGTCTGTATTTCGAGTGCGGCATCATCGCCTCGTGGTTCGCGCGCGTGGTCTGGGGGGAAACGGATCGCCCGGGCGGGGCCCCCCTTCTTCTTGACCTCCTCCCCCAGGCGGGCCCCCGGCCACAGCGGCGGGGTTTTGTGCAGTGTGCGAAGATGGCCGCTTAGTGGAGGGGCGCGGTTCGACCCCGAGACGAGCGCCGTTGCGAGTCGGTGCCCGATGAGCAGGGCCACGGGGCGAAGGAGCAGGAGGGGGCGTGGAAACCTTTGGGAAAGGGGAGGTGATTCAGTTGCTGTCGGGGGTCTCGGATCACACAGGCATGCCTTTTATTTGCCACCCACCTTTTTTTACCAGGGGGGCCTACAGGCATACCAAAGGTTAACACAGAGGCGTGCTGACTGGACTTTGCCCGCAGCATGCCCAGAAACTGCAGGCCAGGGTGTGTCGCCCGTGGCAGCCTACGTGTCCTTGTCCACGACACCCATTTTATCTTGCACTGCGTCGTGCGCCGCATTGTTCTCCCTACTAGCTCTGCTTTCCCATGCTTTACATTTGGGCAGCGCCGCTCGTACGCGTTGCTTCGTCAGGCCCCCCTCACCTGCAGGGATGTGGCCCCAACATGTAGCACACCTGTGGTCATACGGTGGTTGGGGCTTTTGGCAACTATGGAATGGGATGTGCAGGAGGCACCACACTTTACTACCACAGGCTAGCCTGAACAGCGCCAGCTCACCGAGTGCCATCTACTCTGCCAGACTTGACTTCTTGCCCCACGTTCAAGTCAAACGTCTTCTGTCTCTTTCTTCCGTGACGTTACTACAGTGTGCGATCAAGCGACATGGCTCCCCGCGTGGTTTTAGCCTACGATGGCACTTGACAAGCCTTAGACAGACTTGCTCTCTATTGTAACTGTGCACGCGTAGTTTGTTCCATCCTGGTCGCCTCGTCGCGCTGTTGTCATAAGTTTAAATGTTATTGGTTATTGTCCGTGACCCCCCCCCCACCTCACCAGCAGGCATCGTTAGTCTGCGCCTTTTCGGGGCTTTCTGCTGTTCTTGTATGTTGTTGCCACCTGACGGGCCAGCCGCCTAATTCACAAATCGCTGTTCGTCACTTGTCTAAGTAGCTGTTCTGCACCCGAAAAAAAGGTCCAGCATAAAAGCGTAAGCTCGCCCAGCGGAGGAAAAAAAAAGAGGGGGCAGCGGGCGTCGGGAGGAATGGGATGGAGGAGCGATGGGAGGGGCGAGGCAGGATGGATCAAGGGCAGCAAACGAAGAATGGGAAGAGCAGGATTTCGAGATTTTGGTGAGCCGTGTCTGCGCCTCTCCCTCCCCGCCGCGCCTGTCCTGACAGGCACCGCCCTGAAGAGTTCGGCGTCCGGTGGCGTCATGGCGTTGTGGCTCCCATTGGGGCGGGCAATCTGCCTGCGCTGTGCCCGTCCTACTGTCAAGGTGCTGATCTGTGAATCGCTTCGGGTTCAGGAGGTGCTCTCGCCGTCTAGGTCGGGAAACCCACTGGTGGCTCGTGGCCACGCTCGCGGTGGCCAGTGAAGCACTCCGTTCCTTCGCTAGCGTTCCGAATGGCAGCACGACCGACGATCGTTGTATGCTTGAAGTGCGAGGGACAAGCAAACACACGTACGTTGTGTTCGAGCTTCGGCGTCTGGGGGACCGCTTTCAGGCTCCAGGGCAACCATGCGCTGTAAAGTCGCAGCCAGGACGAACATCATTGCCCGTGGGAAGATGTGGAAAGTGTTGGGCCCGGCGTTTCAGCAGAGACAGGGCACAGGTCTGGGGGGCAGCCCGACCGTCGTGAAGGGTCGGTATATGTGTGTGTGGGAACCTCCTCGCTCGTCCGAGCTCAGCCCAGCCATGTCGCGACGGTGGAGCCCCCGTCAATCGAAGAAGAGCGATATGCATAAATTGTCGGATGTCCGCGCGGGTTTGCCCTCCTGACAGCGCCTCCGTCGCTGCCCGTGGTGCGTTCCTCGGGCCAGAACGTACCCCTGGACAGGCCGAAGGCTCGAGGGGAGGAACCAGACGATCAAAGCCTCGGGAAAGGCAAGGCTGATCTTGTTTTGCCATCACACGCCTCCAGGGAGGCGTTTTTGGGTGTCTGGGGCCGCGAAGAAATGGGCTTGGACGACAAGCCAGTTTCCTGAGTTGGGTAAATCGGTATGGGGGTATGTGCCGAAGAATCCACGACGTGTGATGTCTGTGAAGGGGTCTCGAGAGAGGGGAGCTGAGGTAATTCTCATTTGTCAGCCTTTCGGAGCCCTTCCAAGGCCCAGAGACTGTCAACAGACAGCTCCAAGTGAAAATTTGGTTGAGAGGAGCCTCGGGATATCCAGGTCCCGCTTCTCTCAAGCACCCTCTTGGCTCATGTGGGCCTCGTTTGTATTGGTGCGACGTGAAGGAGTGGGAGTGGTAATTCTCAACGCTCCGCGTCACCCCAACAGCCGTTACAGGTTTTACTGCCGTTTGCAGTCTTGTCGGTGATGAGGTTGCCCCTCTTCACTCTTGCCCCGACACGATGTTTTGGCATTTGTGTCGCCTACTTCACGGATGTCGTCTGGGTGTGCCTGTCGGTCTAGTTCGTCTCTGACGGTGCTCTTTGTCTGACTCACACCGAGCGGTCGACCTCTGCGTGTTTATGGTCGCGCCGCCGCGCCATTTTGGCTGCGCTTACTTGCCGGTCGCCACAGGGATTTCCAACGCCCCCGGGTTTGGGAGTATCGGTCCTGGCTCTCCTTCTGAGTGGTTGCCCGCTCGCTTGCTTCGCTTGCTTTTCTTTTCCTGCTGCCCAGTCGCGGCCCGACTAGTGTTCGGACGGCGTTCGACCCGCCTCGCGAGCCTTTTGACCAAAAACCACACCGTTGTATGACATGTGGAGGGGCACGCAGTCGAACAAAGTGTTTGGGAAGCCGTCGTACACCAAGACGGGGCAGATGGAGGAGGAATCGGAGGAGGAGGAGGGGGAGAGGGAGGGGGACGGCCAAGAGGTAGGAGGGAGGAGGAGGAGGAGGAGGTTGAGGAGGAGGAGGAACAGGCGGATGAGGAGGAGGAGGAGGAGGAGGAGGAAGAGGAGGGCGGCGAGCAGAAAGGTCAGAGACTTCTTGGATGCCTCTTTGAGTCTCTACGAATGTCTATTGAGAGATTCTTGGGGTCCTCTCGATGAGTCGTGGGGGCTTCTTGGCGGTTCTGGGGGGCCTCTTGGCGCGTCTTGGGTGCCTCGGGGGAGTCTCTTGGCTCCTGGGGCTTCTTGGTGGTCTATTGGCAGCCTCTTGGGGATCCCTTGGGGGCCTCATGGGGCCTCCTGGGCGCCTATTGGGGCTCTCTTGGGAACTCTTGGGGGCCTCGGGGGCCATCTGGGGTCATTTGGAAGGACTTCGATCAAAGAAGGAGGTGGCACTCAAGTAGCCCCTCCCCCAGGTACGGCGTGCAGGATAAGGAATGGTACTTTTGCTCTCGCGATGCTGTTCGGGACAACGCTTTCACCACCAAGGTTCTTGTCCCTCGTTTCTCTGAGACTGTCGGGCCCTTTTGTCTGCACATTGTTGCTCGAATTTTTATCCCAGGCTTGTGGTGTTCCTGCACAGCCGCTTCGACGACCTGCGACTCATGCGAGAGACCGCAGCGAAGGACACGCCCTTCTTTGCCACTCTCGCTCTGGCCTCCGCCACCTGCGAAGCCCAAGGGGTATCAATTCGTGCGGGAGCAGGGGCGCGCCGCTGGTCGCTCTCGTTCCCCCCTTCGCGGTTCCGCTCCCCCCCTTGTCACTGCTGCTGTCGTCGTCGTCGTCCCAGTGTCGTTCCTCTCTCCGCCGCTGGGCTTCGCATCGCCTTGCGGAAAAACAGTCCAAGGGCCTCAGCCAGGGCGGGTCCTTCGCCCAGAGTCGGTTTCTGACAGGCCGAAAACGGCCAACCATTTCCCGTCCTGATTTTTTAGGCGCCGCGATGGCGTCGTGTTTCCGCTGTCAAGCACCAGGCCCTGGGACCTTCTTGTAGTGCATCCTGGCTAGAGTTTCGACGGGGATGCAGCGGTGGCGGCGATAAGCTTCCAGGAGGGGGCTCAAGAAGACGAGTGCCCGATGGAGGAAGTCCCCTTTCCGCGGCCGCTCTCGCTCCCACCCGCCTCCGTGGTGTTGATCTGTCATGTTTGCCTGCCCGCGCCCTGGCCGCCAGCGACCGCCAGCCCTGACTGCCCGTGCCCGAGGCAGGCGGTGCCGCGCGCGGCCCGCCGCCCAGGAGGCGCTGCTGGCGGGCGAGGAGCGGCTGCCCTTCCGCCCGCCGCCCGCCGTGGACATGGAGCCCGGAGGCCGCAAGCGAGCTGACCGTTTCAATCCCAGCGTCTTCACTCGCCACGAAGGGGACCCCAATTTTCGTCTCGGAGACATCACGACGGGAGGTTCTGGCATGTTTCGGCCTTCCGGAGGCCCGTACCGAGCCCCGAGATTGTCAAGCAACGAGTCAGGATGAGAAGCTGGTCCCAGGGAAGGGTCCAGACCTTGACCTCTGGGTAGCCAAGTTGTGAACACAATCGTGTTGTCGGACGTCTTTGAAGGGGTCCTCAGGGAAACGGGTCGTGAGGTTGTTTCTCGTCGTCTTTGGCTTTGACGGGGAATTTCTCGGGTCCTGGAGCTGTGAGGAATCAACTCTGGACGTGAAGTCCAGGACCCACTTCCCTCAAGACCCGCTTCCTTTGCACAATGTATAGATTCATGTCGGCCAGCCGTGTTCGGGCCACGGGGTGATCAATAACCGATCCCTGGAAGAGCTAGGGAAGAACCGCAAAGTCTGATGCCAATAGATGGCCGCTACGCTTAGTCATCACTGCTTAGCGGACTTATTATAATATACTGGAGCATCAACGTGTTTGTACGTCAGTTGAAATTGTGTTGGACATTTTGCAAGTGTGATGCAAGTGGGTTGTAAGCCACTCAAGTGGATGCAGAATTTCCTAACTAGCTAGCTGGGGTACTAACCATACTGTATTGGTTAGTGAATCCAGCAACCTGTATAAATAGTTTGGATATGCAAGAACTTGTTGCTAAGGTGTACGTTAACTTGATAGCTAGCTGGTCAGGGAGTTGTGCGAACAACGTAGCGAGAACACGTATAACCTACTTAGCTAAGTGGTTAGTAAGTGGTTCGCGTTTTGCAGTTTGTGGCGAGTACGCCGTTCATAAGTAGCTAGTGCGTCGTAAACACGTACGGGTCAGTGAACTAACTAACACACCGTCCTCGCCCCCCATCCCGACACTCATCGAGTTCCATCCTCCTCCTACTTCTCCTCGTCCTCCTCTTGGTCAGCATCGCACTTGATGGTGATTGCACCTTCGGTTGGAAACAGCACCCGTGGTGGAACGACATCATATATTTTGTCATGGTCGACAATTATAAGTTCATGACTAGTATCCTCGACATGCCCCAGTATGAGGTTTCTTTCTACACACAAGCTGAGCTTGCCTTCCCTGACTGTTTCCATCGGGCCGTGAAGTGTTGTTTGCTTGTTCGAGTTTTCACAAACGACCCCGACCTCAATCTGAGTGGTTTTGATCGGCTTTTGATGGCCTGCTGGAGGTCCGCCCAGGTGGTCGCTCCATCGGTCCTCGCCTTCTTTCTCCAAGCTGTGCGCAACGGGTGGTTCACCATGGGTCGTTGTCGGTTCCCCACGTTAGGCTGCCTCGCGTGTGGTCTTCCAGATGGCGATGCCCTCAAGCATGTGTTCGAATATCTTGAGATCGATATGTTGGGTATTTTCCTGCCGCCGTTCCCCTCAGCTCTCTGTCAAGGGAGAGACGGAGAAAGGGCCGCAATGCGAATCAAATTTAGGCGTCGGACGATTGAGTGGGCGACGGCGACGACGATTGTCGTGGACAGCCCCCCCTATTTCCTGTAGGGAAGCTGTGCGTGTTCGCTTCAGGGGCGCGAGCGTGAGAGTTCGCGTGCGTGGATGTGGGGTGGGCAGTTTCGCACAGGTCTTGGATCCACGAAGAGCGCGGCGGGTTGGGGAGGGGCGCCTGCGCGGCGACCCCCATCCAATCTGGTTCTGGGGTTCCGCCCGAGAGTTTGTAGGCCAGGGTGATTCGCGAGCCCGCTGCGACCAGCGCCGACCGCGCGCAGCACGCGGCGCTGCAGCGCAACGCGGGAAACAACGTGTGCAGATACATGCGAATATTTGCATTGATCCCTCCACCCCCTTGGTCCCCATCCCCGTCGTTCCATGCGTCGCCGTCGACATCCGATATCGTCGAGCGGATCGTTTGTAGCTAGTTCGCATGATCTCGGTCTCGCGCATGCCTTCCCGTGCGTCCGCGCTCAGGGCCCTCCGTGCGAATCTATTTCAGCCCGCCACGGCGGCTTACTTTTTTATGACAAGCCATGTGAGGCGTTTGGCGCAGGCATCAGCCCATTGGCTGGGTTGCCATCGGGCGCTCGTTCTCGATGAAGCCGCGCTCGTCCGCGATCGCCGACGCGGACGCTCTGGCGACGGCGCGACGCAGGAAGACGTAGGCGCGCGAGCCGCCCGTTGAGAGGTAGCGAAGCTGAATGCACGGAGGGTGGCGCCCTCACTTCAGCCGCGATGGCCGCGTGCTCAGGGCCCATATTTTGTCGCGGGCGGACATGTCGCGAGAGGCCCCGACCGCCGCGGCGATCTGCGTTTTGGAGGAGACGAAGCTCTGGGAGGCGATCTTCGCTTCAAGGTTGCGGGCCGTTGTCGGGTTTGCGAGCGCGCCGTTCCTGCTCTCTTGTTTGCAGCCCATCTGCGTCGGCGGGGTCAGGGACACATGAGCCGGATCGCGCGTCCGCAGGTGCTTATACACGGCCTCCCAGCCCGACGCTAGGTTGCCTTTGGCAGACGCGATTTGCTGGATGGCTTGAGCATGGGCCGGCGAGATGCTGGCGGCGCTCGACGCTTCCATCGCTGCGCTGAAGCGCCTAAACAAAACGCCCGTGGCCTCGGGCTTCAGTTTTTCGCGAGCGGGGCGAGGGGGACGAGGGCGAAGGGGGCGCGCGCCTTGTGCGCCGCCGAACGCAGCCCAAAGTTCGTAGGGAACGCCGCGCAAACATTCCATGAAGCGTTCGCAGCGCTGGGGCCAGGACATGTGCCTTCAATTCAGGCGCTCTGCAGTGCGGTATATGAGGCATCCGATTCCAAAACTTCCACGTGCCACTCATAAGTTTGCACGGACATCCCTGTGCAGCGGAACGAGGACTGACCGCTACAACGAGCTGTCATGCCATAGGACTCGTAACGCACCACAATTTGTCAACATCGCGCAAAGCGCATGCCAGCGCCTAGTACATTACACCAGGACGCCATCATTTGGTTTTCGAGATCGTAGTTGAAGACACTGGCACCGATCCGAAACATGCGACGCACTTTTCCGCGCTTGTGAAAACAAGCAACGAAGCTATGTATTAGAGGCTTGCCAGGCTGACTAACCGTTTTTATTAACTCTTAGTTGAGCCTCTCCAAACCTCAGCTAAGTTGGTTAAAACTGACTTGCTAAGTTGACGGGCCAGTTAGTGGCAACAGGACAACCATCGTCGAACCACTAAGTAGTAAGCTGATCGGTTGGTTGCGTGGCTTAGCTAAGCAGGTTATCCATAAGTCAGCTAAGTACTTAGCTGACCTGGAGTACCTACTTGTGTCCGCTCGTATATTCTAGAGGCCCGCCAACCACGTAATAAGCGCAGCGGCCATCTAAAAAGTATGGATCGTGTTTGTCCTGGGCGTCGTTGCCGACCTCGGCGTCGCCGTCGGCCTTTGGCGTCGTCGTCCCCGGACCCGTCGCCTCCTCGGCGTCGTCGTCATTCCCGGCGTCGCCGTGGCCGTTTTCTTGCAGTTGTGGGCGACGTTCGCGCTGTTAATGCCAGGTCTGTCAGGAGGCGGGCCGCATGATTTGGCAAATGGTTATCTTTGTGATGAGCAAGCTTGTAGTGGAAAGGCCTTGCTGCGGCTTCCGCCGACCCTGACAGAAGAATAGCTTGGGCGCAAGGGGGAGAATGGGACGGAGGCACAGGACAGTGGCAATTTCATGCGAGAGCGAACATCGATGGGCGTTCTGCCTATCATGCCACTGCATCTGGGTCGATCAAGGACGTTTGTGTGTCGTTCGGGGGGGTTCTTGCGGTGCATCTTCTTGAACATTTCTTGCCCACTTGGGTGAGCCTCGGCGCGTTTTGAGGCATTCTCTTGGGACCCTTTTGCGGGTCTTGGGAGCATGTTGGAGGGACTCGTTTCCAGCGGATCGGCGGTAACGCTTCTTCTGGGCACCTGTTGGGACCCTCTGTTGGGCCCACTGTGACCCTCTTGAGGCCCTTTGTTGGGCCCTCTTGGGCCAGTCTGCGGGGCCCTTCTGGCTGTTTTATAACTTCGTGCGACCGATGTTACGAGAGTTGTTTCAATCTGCTAGTACCGGAACATTATACTACTTGGGGTGATCTTGGCCAGAGGTTTGCTGTGCATAGTTTTAAAGTTTGGTGCGTGAGACTGCATTATGAGGTATGATACATTGTTGTCAGTGTGTTTGTTTGTGCGTTGCGCGGGCTCTTTGTGGTTGCTCGATGTGCATATTGTGTATGGTGTGATAGCTGTGCTTGCTTCAGACACATGTGGGTACTTGCGTGCTGATGGCACCGCGTGCAAACGCCCGTTATGTAGATTATATCGTTTGCTGCTAACCGTGTTCGGCCTATCGCGTTTCTTTTTCGCTACCTTGCCAACCCAGCATTGTGGGTGGCGACTGTTCGAGAGGGCGCGTAACGCCAGCGGCCAGGGGCTTGTGCACCGTCGAGCCAAGCACACCCCCAACAGCCAGGCGCAACATGGGCATCTGGGAACTGTCGGGAACAGCTGGGCAAAGCAAATTGCCAACATGGCGCAACAGGAGTTCGCCGACAAGGGTCCTTTTCTGTCGAGATCGGGCAGGCACCACCCAATGCAGGCACTGTTCGCGCAGTTGTTGACACGGAATACCCTGTCCTCTTTATTCTGTCTTACAGCTCTTTTTGAAATGTCCCGTCGCTTGCTCTACTCCGCTTTCGTCCGAAGGTTTAGCGGGACGTGCCAACCCCTGTGAATGGAACCCGTGTAATACCCTCATATTTACTCATTATCCTTACCTCTCCTGCGCCTGGCCGTTTGGGCCCAGGTACTGAGATAGATCGATCAGACCTTGATCGTGCGGGAGGGAAAGATATCCATCTATCCCTCCTTCTCTCTACCAACGGATCAGGGGTTCTGTACCCTTGTACTTCAACCCCGTACACAGGTTATCAGCCCTTTTAAGCCCACCCTCACCGACTCGC